TATTGATAAACATCCATAAATATAAGAAGTATAAATTTAAATAGTTCTTCAAAGGTCTACATTTTGCCATCATCTCAGATCGTATCATCAAGACTAGTTACTGCTACTTCGTAACTAGGGGTGGATGATGCAAAAGTGATTATAATCATCTCCAACAGTATGATAATTTGGTAGTAAATATGATTAATTCATCAGATGAATTTTGTAGGTAAAATAATGTTAATTTCATGTGTAATTTTGTTTTTTATATATGTTGATAACTCTTCAAAGGAAACAAATACCTTTTGTTTTCTATACATTTGTATTGAACTCCAAAATGAATAGATATGAATTAATCAAATGAATAATCAAATTCTACACAAAATCATTATATTGTTAAAATATTTCAGTAATTTATATTTTCATATTCCATTGATAGCATTTGTAACCCTAAATTGTTATTGAGATATTAGATTTCTCGACATACAACTGGGTGTAGGAGATAGTCACTGATTTTTTTGAACCACTAAGAAATATATTTAAGAAGTTTTATTTCTCTACTTATATTCAGATATTCGGGAGTGTTATTCTTTCAACAAAATAAAATTGAAACCATCAGATCTTCATGGAAATAGTTCTTCTCTCTAACGAATCATCTTTTCAGAATACCACAAACCAATTGGAGAAGTTACTGGTGACTTCGGTCATTTATGTTGCCAATCACTAATGGAATTGAACTGAAGGTCGAGGCTAAAATGAAAGCTATTTTTTCATATTATATTCTTCCATTTCAGCTGCATATTTTTCCTTTGACCTCTCATATCTGTCGACGTATATCTAGAATATAGAAGAAGTCTTAGCAAATAGCATGTTTTTTCTACAAATTACTCACTTTTTTGTCAGGTACTGATAAAGTTTTCCACTTAATAGCCAGTTGTCTAGTTAATTCTTGCTTGGTTGGTTCAACTTCGCCAGGTTTCAAATCCGCACTTATCTGTTCCATTAAAATTTGCCTTTGTTCTTGACAAAATTGGAAAAAAGGATTTGATGGCCTCTTTGGTGCATTAGGGTCTTTCTCTGATTTCACCGACTTTCTTTTTACTGGCCTCCTTGGAGGTCTTTTATCTGGCTTTTCATCTATGTGAAGAATAACAAACTATTAAGTGAAAAGCAGTGTCTGGCTGATGTACTACTATTTAAATCAATCAATCAACATATACTTTTACTGTCTTAAGATTTTCTTATTGACAGACTCTACAAAGTTAAAATTCGGTAGAGAAATACTAAATATGAAAACAATAAATTGAAAATTGCTAGTAGCATACTGCAAATTTAGTAAATATGATCAAATCTGTTGAAACCAGTTGTACCCCCCTACGAACTCTCAAAAGTCGAAACTAACGACTAACGAGGTCTCACCTTTTAACATGTGATTCTACACACTGACAAAAAATATTGAAATTGAATAAGAAATGGCAATAACAAATATCTCAAGAAGATTTTGTCACTAAAAAAATATAGAATATGCTGCTCAGTTCCAGTTTCGCCAGGCATAATACGAACTGGTAGCATTATATAATCAAGTTGAAAAACTCTTGAGTGCTTTATATTGTTGTAAATCATGCCCTAAAGAAAATAACGCCGGACGCCACTGATTACGCGCAATTGATTATGCTAGCCATGAGCATATCGACACAGTCAAGTGGAAGTTACAGTGCGGTATGCGAAGTGATCTAGTAAGGCGATAGACATTCGAATAATAGTTGGAAGTGTTTGTTGTATTTAAAGTGAAACAAAGTTAAGTTTGATTATTATTCATTGTAGTCAATTATTGGTCAACCAACAGGGAAAAACGTAACAATAATTGAGATGATGATAACATAAGTGCTTTATATTGAGATGGTGATAAGGGTTCTCCTGAATAACTTAAAACTATTCCATTCCTTTATCAGCAACGACATGTGATTATACATTTTTAAATCATTATATGTTGGTAATGGCAGTTCCAGACCTAATATTGTAGACATGTATTGTTGAATCTTTTTCGATTACTATGAACCAAACAGGCAGTTTCTAAGACAAAAAGCTCAAAAACTGTCATTATTCCATTGCTTTTGAAGATTGGTTGTCAATAATCTCTGGAGTTTACTCAGCGGTCCCCGACAGTTTTTTTTATATAACTGAATTAGCTTGCATGAGATGCTTAGAGTACACTACCCAAAATGCAATTCAGTATTGTAAATGGGACTCAAATAATTGCATAGAGCATAAATAGCAGCTTGTATCCCACCTCTTTGGCAATCTTTCTTGTATAGCATTGGAAAAATGTTTTTTTTTCATAGCTATTCCATATGGTTTCACACTATCTTCATTTAGTCCCAGGAATACTAATTGTACTGAAATTTTTCATTTCGCCATTACCCAAAAATGAAAAAAAAACTAAATACAGTTTGTTGTATATATATAGCTTCCTTGAACTCCAAAATGAATAGATATGAATTAATCAAATGAATAATCAAATTCTACACAAAATCATTATATTGTTAAAATATTTCAGTAATTTATATCGTTATATCAGATATTTTCACCTTACCACAGTTTATTTTCATTTCTTTTTACAAGCAATTTGAAGACAGTTGAATTTCAGGTACCATCCACAATCGGAGAAGAGAAAAAATATAACCCCTTCATGCGGGTTATGATGGGAACAATACAAAGTCACACGAGCTGCAGCGATCCTATTTCAACTATGCAGGCAATAAGAAGGGAAAAAGATAACTTTAAATCTTAAATTTAGAACTTTCTAGAGACTATCAGAGAGATTGATTCAGGTGTAGAGTTTGGGCAATATTGATATAATAAAACTATATTTTTATTTACAGATATTGAAAATTGTTTTACTTGAAATGTTATTAAAAAATTCAAACAATATTGATTAATTATTTATATTCTTGATATATAATTAATTTTCACCTCAGTTAATCGCTTTTTTACACTAAAACAGATTTTATTAACAAATTAATAAAGATTATTGATATAAAATTTCACTCAGATGGAAAATTATCAGTCCCCAGTTGTACTTAGAAAATTCAGGCGATAGCATTTGTTTTCAACTCCTAACATCTTGGATAGCTTTGAAAGATGAAAAAGGATCCAATAAGATGTGCTGATGAGGAGTTGAAGACGATGCTTTACCCCAAAATTTTGAAGTACACGCGGTGTTTGATAGTTTTCTATGTAAGTGAAATTTTATATAAAAACTTTTATACATTATAAGTAGTGTACCTGTGAATTAGTAACCGCATCTCTACCAAAATATGTTTTAATTCCGATTTTATAATATAAATTGAAATGTTTCTTGCTGTTTTATAAGTATATAACCTTCCACAATCCATAAAATAAATAAAGCTAAATCAATATAGAATCTGCTAAAGTTGTAACAAAGGGCAAACTCAAAAGTTACAGTTAGTCAGTAACTTGTATTCAAAAATTTTTGCTGTGAATAAAATAAATAATAATATTCAATCACCACTGAGGATACAAATTATACATTCAGTAAATCAGGTGTAAATGAATATTAATAAATATAAATAAAATACTTCTAACAACTCACAAAAATATACATATATGGGACATAAGATTTAAAACAATCGATCACTTTATTTTATGCATAATAGTTTTTTTTAATAAAAATTATCATATAAAAATTCTTGGAAGCTATAATAGCAACCATCTCATAACACGAATTCAACTTTATTTTTAAATATGTTATTACTTCTTGCTTGTTTGACTAATCTTGGTAACTTGTAAAATGTGATGACATTATAATTTGAAGACTTATATGTTTGGGAAATCTCAATAGATTACCGAATCTAGTATTATGCTCATGTTCAGAAGCATTAGACTGATAGGTTTTAGATTCTTTCTGGTAAACATAACACATTTGAGTATATATATATATATATGACAGAGTGGGGATTTAAATTTGCTCAATTATTGGTCGCCAGCTGTCTCGAAAATTCAAACTGAAAATAAGTCTAATTATACGCTTCTATGCTACAAATACTCTTGGAAATTTCTTGCTTGACCCCATTTTATAATATTCAAGCTATACCATGGAATATATTCTTATAAAAGGAACTGCAAAGGGCCAAGAGCTGAACCCTGTGATACCCCAAGTTTGCCATCCTGGGTATATGAGAGAGAACCATTGTATTTCACTACCATGGTTCTATTTGTCATATATTATGATTCCAACCAATTTATCATATTGGATGGACGCCCTAACAACAGTTTATCGCTCAGAAATTTAAGACTCACTGTATCAAAAGCCTTTGATAGATCAAAAAATAGTGACGGAACATATTTATTTTTGTTAATCTCTTCATATAAATAATTTGCATTTAAAACNAAGATGAAAAAGGATCCAATAAGATGTGCTGATGAGGAGTTGAAGACGATGCTTTACTTTGCTTTGAAGTACACCCAGTGTTTGATAGTTTTCTATGTAAGTGAAATTTTATATAAAAACTTTTATACATTATAAGTAGTGTACCTGTGAATAATATCTGTTTCAATTCCAATAGGCATGTTTGGAGTACCTACCTACCATCTAAATAGCAAGTGATTGTAATTCAAGGTTCATATGTTCAATAGTACTTGTTAGACTTTTTCTTACAGTATGCATCTGCAAGAAACTTCTGTGCATCAACACATTTTTTCAAAGAGTTTATATTGAAGGTAATTACTTTCTTCAGAAGTTTCCCACATTTTTTGTAACATAAGGAGAAGTAAAAAGTTGAAAAGCATTTTTACAAAATTTCATTTTCTGAAAAAGTATTCTCTTTAAAATTAATATAATCCGTTTGTCATTTTTACTTATTAAAAATATAAAACTCCTTTTTGAAACCTATATTAGGTGAATTGGGATGTTTTTGTACATTTATTATTCATAGAAGTGACATTTTTGATGCCCTGGCAGTAAACATTATTTTTTTAATGCCTAGACGTTAAAAGATAACCTTTTCTTTTTGTTGAAATCTTGCTCTGCATAAGTACCCGACAAAAAAATACTCTAATTCAGAATTTTATTACAATTTCAACTCCAACATTAATGATTAAAAATCAAAATATAGAACATAACACAGAACATAACACAAATTTAAGTAGATGAAATTCTATAATGTTAATGATTGTTGTTAATATTTATAGTAATGCCCGAACAATTTTCCAACATTACTGCATTGGCTTCATAATCCATTTTGCATTTTGTAATCATAGTATAATTTTTTATTTTGATTATTTAAACACCCTGTACAAATATAAAAAATTATATATTTCACTTGGCAGACAAAAAGATTTACTGTCTTGACTAGTTTCATTGCCTCGGCAATGAAACTAGTAAATCTGTTACTACTCTGCCTAGTTGAACAAATAATTATTAGCTTATTATATAATATCAGTACATCCATAGTATTGAACGATTTACTGTTATCTTAACAGTGAGTAATAGTAAACAGCTGATTCAATTTTTATTAGTGGTTGTATTGAAATCATCAATTATTTTAGGCAATTCTATTGTTTACTTTGATGTTTCATGAATCCATACTGGCCTTGATATGTTGAATTGGAAACTACCACGAAAAGAATCTATTTATTGAAAAAAAAATCCACACCAGAATAAAATACTGTCTTTCGATGCATGCTTCACTAACCAATACAATAGCTTCCTCGAGTGTCAAAGTTTCATTTGGTAGACTAAAAAAATTACCTTCATCCAATTTTTCTTCTTTAATTTTATCTTTGAACATAAGATGTGCAACTGCTCTTTTGTCATCATCTTCATCGAAATTGAAGTTTGAATTTGAAATAACATTCCAATCTTCCTCATAGTTATTGAGCAATCTCTGTTTAAAAAACTTCACATCTTTCAACCTGCGTTTGGTAATTTTGTTGATTTCTTGTATCCTGTGAACATTTTGAAATTTTATTTGTAAATACTGAATATCAAATGCTCTCTCACCTAAACACTAATATTTCATTTGATCTTTGCAACTGGGAACATTCTTCGAGAAGTAAAGTATACTTTTTATAGTAAAGATCATTTTTTTGATTGTCTGTATAGACTCCGTCATTTTCAGATTCATCAGACATCATTTTTTTAAAATTAGTCTATGATCAAAAAATAAACACTTAACAAAACCTAAATTTAACGTAACCTCTAATTTTATATGGTAGGTTAGTTCGTTTGTTCAAAATCCGTACTTTTTGCTCAATGTCCGAATGCGAAATTCTGGTACTATAGTAGGTTACATGTCTTGGCCTGGCCAGACTTTTTAGGCTTTAACATTGTCAGATATAATTGAATTTCATCCATACAGTTTCTATTGCTATTGAGGTCGTATCACATCAGCATTTTTACCAACCTCTTTAGCTGGTGGAAATAATCCTGAAGGAAGGTTGGTTGGATAACAGCATCAATTCAAAAATGATTCGTAATGACGTCATTATAAATAAGATTCGTCAGAAATGAAGTGATTCAATTTGTGTTAGATGTTTGATTCAATAATAGAAAGAAAGTTTTCAATTTTCTCTAACCTCAATTAGAATCGGATTTGTGCATGAATATTACAAATGTAGCTGCATTTTCAAAACCAGTGTACCATTTTTTTCAATTCAAAATGTGGATCAGTAGCTATTCTTCTTCATCTAGTCAACCAACGATATGTAGAAACCAATGGAATTATCAAAGTGTGATGTGATATAATAAATGATAATACTTATTTGATAATTTCCCAGCTTTATTTTGTACCTCCAAACATCGTATATGATGAAAAGTTTTCAGCACTTTATAAAGTATAACGATCAAAATGAAGCAGAAAATGACAACCAATGTAACATAACGTCAATAAATTACGTTCAAAACCAACTTCACGCTATAGTACGAAAAAATAGTTGTCGAGGTTGTGATTCTATATATCTCATCATAATTTTTCTTCATTTGCTCATTATAATTTTCGTACACCTTTGCAAGAGACAGATTAGGGCGATAACGTCAGTCATTTCTGAGAATTCAGTGCCTACTATTTTGGAATTATAGTATAGTTTTGAATCATCATGAATACGTTTCAAATCATAGTTGATGTGACGTCATCGTTTCAATGCTAGAATGAATGTATTTGAATCACAGACGAATACGTTTTGAATACATGAGCGCCAGAAAACGCCTTAACTTTTTTCGGAAATATTCCAATCTGGAATAGGATTAGTGCCAACAAAAACACCTACTGTCAGAGGTTGAATTGAAAATGACGATATGTAAAACAATTGTGATTCTGTTACAACCTATCGAGAACAGCTGTTTATGTTCAAGCTTTGCGATGTAAATAATGTCAAATTATTTTGAATTAGGTCAAATGTGCCTGAAAAATAGAGCAATAACCATATAATTCGAAGAAAAAAAAAGAAGCAGAATAATTCGCATTATCTTGGCAATCGATTCAATATTTCAAATTATCTCGATAATCGATGCGATATTTCGAATTATAATGGAAATCGAATCATCGATTATTTTCAATTCGAATTAGTCCCTGCATCAAAATCAAGGTGGCGCGTGCGCTCAGTTTGTCATGTCATATACTATTCTTCTTCTAGAGTTTGATGTTGAGTGTTGAGTGATTTATTTCTTTTGTAATTGTTATTTCGTGTTTTGAGTGCAAAATTGATTTTATTTTGTATAATTAGTTATCGAAATATTACTTTATTCTGATACTTGATTGCACAATCTTTCGTGTTCCAGTCTTTATAGGGTGCTGTAAAACATTCCTCTTTTGTTTCACTCAGTAGTGCGTCTGAAGGGGTTATGGGTTTTTAGCATCGATTTTTGTGCACCTATTTACTGGTAAGTGATAGTATAACAATTTGACTATTGATAATATAATTTTTGGGATTCGGTATATTTTGGCAAGTCTTATTAAAATATTGGATCTACCCATCGAGCCATTCATTAATTATTTACGTGTCCCTTCATATTAATCATGTACCTAGAACACTGTTCAGAAGCAATTAATGAATTATCAAAACGAGGTGAATTAGCGGAGTCACCAACACATTTGTGGTTTCAGTTAGGAGACATCATTCATAGGTAACTACACATTAGTCAACCATTAGACTTCCCAAGTTTTTATGCCACCTTTGTTGGTTTGACCAATCTTTGAAACCGACAACTTCGTTAGCAAAAATTAGTGGAAAGCTGGAATGCCATCGGAAAACGAATTCACATGTTTTAGAATTGATATAAAATTAAGAAAAGTTAATCCAGTCAAGCTGCTGGAAAATAATTCCATGAAAATGAAAAGATAAATATGAGTATTATTCCGATCATTCCCAATTTGATTTCAATTTATAGTCACCAGGCCAAACAGCCGAGAGACATAATGCAATATTTTGAACTCTGCAGGCACATAGCTATCACACTGTGCACTTGCTCAAGGAAAAAATTATCATACTTTGGCTTTATCAGGAACGTTAACAATGCGTCAACACTGAATTTTTTTTTTAAATTCTGAACTGGATGAGTGAACTCTCTTTGTAATGAAATGCTGGTTAGGTTCAGTGCACCAATTACACTATTACTTACAAACTGATGAGAATAAGTTATCAAATGTGTTAAAGAATAGTTTTTATAAAAAAACGATAGTGTAGTGGTGATGGTTTTTTAAAATCTTTATAATAAATCTTTCATTTTCCGACTGACATGATACATATATGGGAATGGTCAGAAACACAATTTTTTGTGCAAGTTAGCACAGAAATTAATAAAATATGAAATACTCAAAAATATCATACACTTACATTTAAAAGTGAATATTCACTATAATTAAATATAAAAATACATGATAGTATGATAGACACAAGGAAAAGGGATGTCTTTCCAATAGCAGATATTTAATTCTTACTTTGAAATATCTCAAAGTAAAAGTGTGTTTTACCTGAATCATTTATATGGACAAATAGTATCTCAAGATTGATTTACAACATACACAATTTTAAGACAACGATAAAAATAAAATAAATACAACAATAAAAATTAATTGGCGCTCCGGGGCGACTTCATTGATTCCAGTGATTACATGGAAGATTAGTAAAAATTTTGGGCTCTTAGTAGCATTTTTTTAGCTTCATCTCCAATTACTCTAGATATGAAGTTATCCGCTGAGTTGTAATATAAGTATCATAGAAAATTCCTCAAATGTATATTGTAACTTCGTTTAATTGAATATAGATGTCGATTAATTAAATAATGTGATAATTTATTTGATGTTATGGAAAATAAATTTCAAAAATTTTAATACTCACACAAGAAACTCTTGTACAAATAAGTATGGATCAATAAGACAATACTGATATCACATCTGCAATTGTTGATATAAAACATTAGGATAATTTTATTACCTACCATTGTTTTTTTTTTCGCAATGCTAATAACCTGAAGTCTCTCAACGTAGTTTAATTTCTGATGTGTGACCTATTTTTTGATAATGATACATTCGATTATATAAATCAAGTGTCTACAAAATGTAAAGAAAAACAAATACCTTTATTAAATTTTTTTTAACATGTTCATGAAACTCTTTGTCATTGTGCTGAAAGTTTGAGACATGAATTAACCATAGATGAATAAATCTTAATGATTTGGTTAATATCAAATTTGATTTTGTATTGGATAAGTCTTTTTTTTGAGTAAATTTGAATCTACTCATTTCATAACAATATGGTTAATAATTTTCTATAGGTATTGACAATATCAACTGGTTACTGCAGGTGAAATAACGTCTGTTAGATAATGACCAGTTGAAATTTATCATAATTTTGAAAGTAGTGATTCTTTTCAAGTTTTATACTTTTTCTATTTCTTCTTCTCAAGGCTCAAGTTAGATCGATTGATGTCATCAACATCTCCATATTACCTAGCAATTGAGATAGAAGTTTTTTTATCTCGTTCGGAGTGTTTTGACTCTTGACAGGCCTGTGATCGAGTGTTTTGTATTTATCTAAAACATGAAGCTGTGTCTGCCACTTAATTAACGTCTCTGTTATACCCCTATTTTATACAGGTGTCCAATAAATGAATATTGTTTATTGAGTGTAGCCCCGTTGATTCACCTATTTTTATGGTTTTTCCAAAATGTATTTTCTTAAAGATTTTGAAGAAATTATTGAAAATTAGATAGTTCGCCCTGAAACCTCTGGCGTAAAATTAATCTACTGAAAACACTTTCCCAACACCAGAACAAAAATTACTGTCTCTTGACGCGCGTTTCGTTAACCAAGTTAGCGTCCTCAGGAGATTATTATGACTGGTAATGATATCCTGAGGACGCTAACTTGGTGAGCGAAACGCGCGTCGAGAGACCGTAATTTTGTTTTGGTGTTGAAAAAGTGTTTTCAATAGATATTGAAAATTACTTCGTGTGGTTATTTTGAACCAAATAAGTACTTTACAAGTTGTCAAAATGGTTTTCGTAAAAGCCATTCCACAACACGAGCTCTATTACTTCCGTTACACTATGTGATCTGTCAAAAACCTTCGGCTGTGTTTTACATGAAATTCTCCTAGAAATGTTGAGGTATTATGGGATCACAGGAGTTGCATTATCATTGTCATAGAGCCATATTTTTATCTCTGCAATTCCTTATTACCATCTGAATATTTTTTTTTGCTGATGATACTACCTTGGTTCGTTCTGATTAGCAATAAGATGATTTAGAAGTGTTATCTAATAAAGTCAAAGCTGAATAGCGACAAAACGCAAAAAGTTATTATTTCCTCAAATGTTTCAGTGTATTAAGTATAAGTCATCATGCTTCACAATGAAAAGCAGATTATGTAGTAGTACAATATTTATTTTTCGCCAGCTACAGGACATAACTAATATGGAGAATAACTTTTTTTCTTGTTTCATTCATTGATAAACTATGGGGTCTTACACTTGGGTAGCCCTTTAGTGCCGTGTCCATATTCCAACAAGAAAAAAAGACTGTAAAAATAATTGCACACGCTGGTTTTAGAGGAAATTTATTTTTTCAACTCGGCATTATATCTCTTCTATTGATCTACCTACAGTCGAATATTTATAATTATAACACAAGGCAAGCCGATATTAATGATTAGAACAACACGGCGTCGGTTTTATCTGTTTTAGAAAAAAATAATCCACTAATTTGGATCTATACAATGCTCTCTCTCCGCTAATGTCAAACACTTTAAAATGCAAGATTTATGCAAAACATTTTTCTTGCAGAATTATTTTTACTCAGTCAATGAGTACTTGGACTATATCAAAAATGTTGATTTTCAAGATTATGTGGATCATATTAATCAATTATTGTTATTGTATGTTTGATGTTTTTAATTTTTATATGCAATTTAAAAAATTGTATTTTTTTTCAATGTTTTTCATAATCAACAAAAAAATCAATTCATATATTTGTTGCCTTTTATCATTCATTATCAACCAGATGTGCTCAGAAAGGTATGACGATTCCAAAAATTACTTTACGAAAAAGCACTTCTGTGTTACCTATCTCTTTGAAATAATTCAATGCTGCACATTTTAAGTTTTTGGAAAATTATTTTCTAAACATAGAAGAATCTTACCATGTTTCACAAAATTTGAAAAATCAAAACAAAATTTTTGTGACGTGTCACATATCATAAAAGTAAAGTCTAAAGAAAATAGAAAAATTTTAAATTTTTTAATTGACTTGAAGTAACTGAAGTTTGTTTACTAAATCTTCTATTTCGGGTTTATACTTGGTACATTTCAAAGCCATGCAAGCACCACTGTTAACCGATTCCATTTGTTTGTTTCAATATAATATTCCATGCTGTCTCACAAAAATATGTGTATGAAAATATTGTTAGCAGAGCCATTGCTAAATCTCTCAAGTTGGTATGAGTGTCAGGTAATCTTTTCCAAGATTTCAAAATTTCTTCTTCGACAAATCCTAGAGTCCAACTATTATTCTGAAAATCTAATGATTGCATCTCTAAATTTGAATCCAAAGTATTGTAATGAACTACATCAGGATACTTGCACATTTTAGTTGTCTGTTCTAGACTTCTAAACTGGTTGAATCTTTTACTGAACTATTGGAATTAATGAGTTTATTAGGTATATTCTGGTACAGACAGGGTGTTGTTGCCAGAAACAATCCCTATAGATATTATCATGTAATTGAGAAACACCTGGTATAGTTCGTCAAGGTTTATAAGCCTATTTTTTTCAAGTAACATGAAAAAACACGATGAATGTACTTATGAAAAAGTTGGCGATGGAATTGGCTGATTTATATGAAAACGCTTGAGAAAACTATTGCATAGCGAACTACGTGTTGCGGTTGTTGCAGTTTTGTAAACTGTCCAGTGTTACTTAAATACAAAGTGTTACTTGTTTTGTGTTATTCACCTAGTAACTAATAGTTTGAAATCAATCACATATGAAAATGTTCAACTACAACTTTGAAAACTAATATGTTTCGACCACAGTTAATATTGTTATATGCGTGTGGCTTCTTTATGATAATTTAATAAGATCTTGCTCTTGGAACTAATCTTTAGACTAGCCTCTGAACTAATCTTCGAACTACCTCGATGCGCTCACATTTATAGTCAGAACTGACATTCCAGTAAATTCGTCGGAGCTTTCTTATGTTAGTCTCATTATTATTCGCTTGTGATTAGTAAATGTTGCCATGGTGACGATGAGACGTCACTATACTTTGTTGGATGGGTGTGCCCAGTGACACTGGAAACGAGTGAGTCATAACAATATTAATGAAATGAACAACCAGATATAGCGGTGTGGAATTGAAGGATGTTCAAGTATACAAGACATCGACATTCTTAGAAGCAACAGCTCTGAAAATAATAATAAATTCTACCATGATACATTCTATGTGCAATACAATCACATAAAAGAATTCCAAAGAAACAGAAGACTGAAGATTAATAATGGTGACCAAAAACTTGATAGGTAAGAGAAGATTCGGAAATGCCAAGTTTCGCTGTGAAGAAGACCATTATCCAAAATACATGATCAGAGATATTCTACCTATTGGATGAATTGGAATTGATTATAAAATAACTACCTGAATAAACTCGATGGTTGTCTGTTTTATCATTACCACCTAACCAAAATCTTTTGAAAAACAAAGAATCCGTTCAATTTGACGTGAATAAAATATCTGTTATTTATCTTATGACTTGAATTTGAGTTTCACAAACTTTTGCCTAAAGTTATTTATGGAAGCAAATACAAATCCAAATTTTCAAACATGTTGGGTAAATTCCTCCTTTGTTAGATGTTTAATAAAAAACCTTAACTTGCCTTAATATGAATATGATTGTAAAAAACTTCAAAATGTGAATATCACATGTAAGTAACATTTTTTTTTTCTTTTTCTCCTCAGAAATCTATGCCTAAATCAAGTGAAGTGACAATGTCTGTAGGAAACAGCGCAAAGAAGGCACATTTGCCGGTTTCAAGAATAAACACCATCATGAAAAGTTCCTCAGACGTAGACACAGTGGACAGAGAATCTTCCATGATGATGTGCAAGGCTACTGAGTTGTTCATAAGAACCCTCGCTTTGGAAGCTTACAATACAGCAAATAAAGCAAAGAAATTAGACTATAAGCATCTGGCAGAAGTTGTGCATACTGAGGAAAGGTATAATTTTCTGAGGGACATCATGCCCAAAAAAATTACCGTTGCAGAGTACAAAAAGATAATGGCCAGGAAACAAGGCGCCAATGATAAAGATAAAGAAGAATCTTCATCGAGTTCTTCAGATGATGAGGAAGATTCCAGTTCAGAGGAAAGTGATGGAAGTAGTGCTAGTGCTTGAATGAATAATATTTTTTGGAACTGTATTATTGATTATGGTTCTGTGAACCATTTTATACTCCTAAAATGGGTTATCTGTAATGTAAAGCTTTATGTATCAATTTAAAAAAATGGTTTTTCAAAATGAAAAAAAACTTGAGTACAAGCAGTGAAAATAATATGATTACTGAAATGATTGGCCAACATAATGGGTCTGAGACCTCAAAACAATTATTAAATGGGCATGGAAAATAGCTTTCAAATATGTAAATTTATTATTGAGTGAAAGTTATTTTATCGTGGAGGGGATCAGGAAATTGAACTCCTTTGGGAATTTTCATCTTCAACATCTATAAAAGAAATTTGGAAATAAGAGAAAGAATAACTATAAGGCATAGTTGGTTTTATAATTCTGAAGATGAAGCCAGATTTTGGTCTTTGAAAAATTGAGTATTTAAAAATTCTTATCTTCTTTTTGATAGTCAAAATTATCAAATATGATATAATTTTGATGAACAGCACTTTTTTTATGAAAAATATATTGAAAGGATGGTTTCAAAACTTTTTCATCAATGATATTTTTTTTGTTTAAGGTGTACCAATTCTTACCCTAAGATGTTTTATGTGTTACAGAAGCAAAAAATAATATTTTTTCAAATTTTAACTTGCTCACTTTAGGAATTATTATTTATTAGTTATTATGGGTAGTTTGTGGAAAAGAGTTCGTTTATAACAGTTCAACTAACAGTGTTCATTTGTACATTTTTTTTTACTTATCGGCAAGAATATGTTACTTAGCTAGATAGGGTGACATGAAAGTGATGACTAACTTACAAAAAAAAAAACACTCATGGTCTTAAGCCATGACAATTTGAGAATATTTCATCAAATCAAACCAAATATACCTACTTAATTGTCGGAAGAAAAATCTTGAAGACAAAGCCTTATAATTATTATTTTCAGAAATCTCAACAGTAGTATTTCAGGTGACCTCAAGATTAAGTTGTTACCTTCAGAAAAATCATCTTTAGAGTGTTCACCACAGTACTCCTCTTCCAGTGAAAAAACCCACGGAAAATGAACAGCTCTTCTGGTGTTCCTCAGTGTCCTTTTTATTTTTGAATGGTCCATTATTACGGATTTGAGGGGCATTTTCAACAGCATGATTTCTAATGGACCATTCCAACCTTCATAAAATATTTTCAGGCCATCTTGAATGGGAAATTCGGAAACTATAAGAATTACAAATTCGATTGAATCGAAAAAAAGTTGCTCAATTAAATCGTATTTAAATGACGTTTTAAATTTTAGTAAATTCCAATTGTGTGTACATCAGTGAAATTTTCACTACGAAGGCTATATGAAAATCAAACTTGGTAGACTGAACTATTATTGCTTTCATGCAAATTTCATCTTCTTGGTGTAATGATGAAGGCAGCAGCAAGTATTGTATCGTTAACAGTGTGAAAATGAAAAAAGCTATTTGCCAAGTGGAAATGTGTAGAGCTTAGTCTGTTACATACTATTAGGCGTATTTGTGTTCGCAGTTAAAACGATTCTAGGATAGTTCAGAATAGTTACCCGGCTGATTATTGACCGTGGACTAGCGCAAAACTTCAAGTCTCAACTATGCGACTACATTTGATAATTCGAAAACCGTTCAAATAGCGAACCCCAATTCGGCTAACAATTAGCGTCCTAATTTACAACTTTCCCTGATAACATATCCATGTTTTATTTCAAGCTAAAACAAAATACGAAGATCAGAAAGCACCTATGATTTATATGATTTTATTTTTTTGTATCATATTTTAATCGTTTGACCTTATAACCACCTTGTGTTTAAGTAACACTTATTTGTGTTTCGCTATTCAATAGCTTTCTCAGACATGATCATACTAACTAAATTATACCTGATTAGTGCTTTATATAATATATCAATTCGAATTTGACCTTCTATCTAATTGAAAACTAACAATTTTACTAAAGTATAGGCATAAACTAATTGAGAATTTGAGCATTATAAAAGGAACTACATACTTGATGTCTATTAATTTCACCAGAGTTCAGGTATAAAATTAAACATTCAAACATTATAAAAGAAATTTTACCAAATCATTAGATTGATATGTAATAACCTAATTGCCAATTTCCATATTAGAAAACAGATTCAACAGAGGGGAAGAATTCCATTCTATTTGGCCATTCAGTAAATTTATCGAATTCTCACATCTATTAATTTCTAAGCATTCCAAAATATTGAGTTACAAATCTTACTCTTCCAGTTGAAATACAGTTCTCCGAAAAGGTATGTGGAATAAGTAGTTGATATCAGAGATTACTCTTCTGCTTGATATTGATACAATATTGAATGTTTTTGACTTATGTATCATCATGAATAAGCTCGTTCGGGATTTTACTTGCGTATTGTTTTTTGATAGAGGCATAGATATTTCCAGATTTATTTCGAGTCAGAAGGTTACTCGTTTTCAATAGAATGCAGATAGTTTTTGAAATCGATCGCGATTATTCTCTTCGAGCGAGTTCTAAGCACTTCGAATAAATTGAAGTCATTCTCATTTTTATATATTTTCCGTTTTAGCTGAAATTAATTCTTTTCTTTAACCGCTCGTATGGTTGCTTTGTATAGTAGGGTGGAAAATACCTACTTTCGGGGTACTTGGTACCTCGTTGTCTATAACTTCTCTAATAGTTTTATAAAAATACTTTACATTATGGTTCAAAGAGTTTCCAGCAAAATTGTTATCCCATGCAATAGCAGATACTGCATGGTTTATTCCAGAATAATCGGCTTTTTTGAAATTGTATTGGCAATTAATCGATTGTCTACGGAGGCTTCCGATTTGGCTAACGTTGCATATGAATTCTATTGAGGGGTGATGACTATCTTCATGGACTAGAACAGTGATGTAACTGATTTATTTTGGTACGATTGCAGAAAATGAGGTCTAAAATCTTATTGTGTTATGAATGTAATTGAAGTGCATAAAATTTTGAAATGTGTATCGAGAATATTGTGGTACTTTAGTTCAACATTATACGGTTCGAGATAGGAGCTTTCACTTACATATATCCAAGAAGTTGTTGATAAGTTGAAATCCCCAAATATCAGAACAACACGGTTATTGGGTGTGATTACAGAATTTAGTTTAAACACAAAACAACTAGTGGCATAATCATTATTCGGTGACAAATAGACACAACATAACATTTTCACTCCATTTAAAGAAATAGAAATCCACACGTCTTCTGCTTCAATTTCACAATCTGGCTAAGGCGATGCACCTAGCTTATGATTGGTAGCCATAAAAACTCCCCCGCCATCTTTTTTCTCGCTAGCACTGGATGATCTGTCTCTCCGAAATATTGCATATTCTTTGGGATCTATCACTTCATGGTCATATATTGTCTCGTTATTCAACCATGATTCAGAAACTAACAAAATATCAGGTTTGTTGATTGACACATTCAGTTTGAATTCACATAGTTTAGTTCGCAAGCCACGCACATTTTTATAAATGATATTTAGAGCCTTTGCGATGGTGCATGGTGCCGGTGATTATAGACGCTATAATTTATGCAGATCTTCTATTTTTGAGATCTGCATTGTCTTGGATGTGTCGGTTTTTCTAACCCAAACAAAACGACAATTTTTATTTTTGGCATCTTCACGAGTTTGTTTCAATAACATTTTAGTTTTTGTTGGCAAATGTTCATTTATGAAGAATCTATTGGAGACACTATCCAGAGTGAATCCTCGCTGATTGGTGGCATCTTTTTTCGCTAACTTAACGGGAGTTAAGACGTAATCTCGGCTTTGTTTAAACCTGAATTTCACTACGATATTCATTGGTTTGTTTTCTGCTCTGGAGGGGACTCTAAAAGCAGTGTCAATGGAGTCAGGATCCAATGATGTATTTGAGAATCTCCCAATTTTCGTAACGATATCAACTAAATTCTCGTTATTTTTCTCCGGAACCTCATGGATCTCTATATTGTTAGATGTGGAAGAGTATTCCAGGTTATCTGTTTCTTGAATTCAAGGACGTCATTTCTTAAAGAAACATTTTTCCGGGTTTTGAAGTAATTGTTCAATTTTGAGCAAATTTTCATCGAACTCCGTGACCTTCTTAGAGCAAAAGTTTACAGATTCTCCGATCATTTGTATCTCGTTTTTGAGTTATTGAAATAAACTATTTACATGTCTACGTATCAAGAGTACCTCTATCTCAAGGGTAGTGTAGGTAGCAAAGTGACTTCTACTTCAGACAGGCGCGTCCCCGCCGAGAGGAGGCGGTGGGAAACGCCCCCCCCCCGTGATGTTAGCGGGTTGACGCTCATCCAGAAACATATACTTTATTAAAAACGACAAGGTAATGTGCCTCTTGCCGCCAAGACTTATGCCACCATTACATGGTTTTGATATTTAGGTCGTTCAAATGAAAACATAGCTGTCGATGTGTTGATTAGCTAGATACTCATGGAAAAAGTTCATGAAAAAACCAGGACAGAATGTCTACAGGAAGTTTTCTATGCCAGTTTTTTCATGAACTTACAAACGGTCATTTACATGTCGCTCATGGAAAATATCGAGGGCTTCATATTATGATAAACTCTAACTGCCGTGATATTACTAGTCAGCGGACTTTTCGGAAGGAACCACTTGAAGTGTTTGTAAGCAAGCCTTCGGATCACATCTGTGAACGGTTTGACCTTCGCTAAGTCTCGTAAACGCTCCAATGAAATGTATCGATCATTATCAGTCACGATACGAAGCATCGTCTCGAGTCTCCGCAACGGAGTCCTCTTGAGGCTGCAGAACACGGAACAAGCGTACAACATAGCTGGCCTGATAATTTGTTGATATATCAGGAGCTTGTTGTCAATACTCAGTTTGGAATTTCGTGCAATGAGAAGGTAGTTTCGTTTAATCGCCGCTACCTCGTTTAATCGACGCTACCGCTCTCTGAATTGCCAGACTCAAGTGCTCATGAAAATTCAAGCGCTTGTCCAGGATAACTTCCAGATACTTCGCACTTTTCTGTTCTTCTACACACATTCGTTGAATTGTCATTTACCTGAAGATCTTCTCGTCGCGTCGGTGAATTTCTTCGTGAAATTCAGCTCAGTCTTTGACGGATTTAG